CGCATGATGTATCGTTGCTCGCGTCCCGTTCCCTTCGTCCTACTTCTCAATTCAGCATCCCGTCTGCTCCGGACACAGACAATGGCCGTCGGTGAGCATTTGATCCGCTCGGAGGAGCACATGTTAATTAACGCGACGAGACTCCGATTATAAATATCCCGCGAGTCGACGAAATATTTGAACTTTTAAAAAAAGCATCAAAGAAAATCACATTGATGTTGTCATGGGTGAAATCTCACCCTGGTATATATTTTTTTATTTTCGAAATAAAAAAAGCCAAACGAATGCAATTAAATGTTATTTATTATCATTGAATATTAGATGAAAAGTAGAAGAGTTATTGTCCGCAGCGGATAATCTAACATTTAATAAGAACGAGACAAAATTCGCATGAGATGAAATTCCACTCTTTAACGCTACCATGACCCTTAATTATTCTCCGAAAACGGCGTTACAACAACTTTGACATTCTGTACAATTAGTTGCTAACATATTTTCTAATCGTACACATCCCTCTTTAATTAACATAAAGCTAACAAATATCCGATGCTTCGACAGAATAATTTTCTTTTTTTTCAGTAATCAATAAGTAAATCAATGTCGCGTACAGTTGAAAGGCCTCCTCGCATTTCCCTCGTTGTCCCGGAACCTTCGAGAAAAGAAAAGATGCCCAAGGGCAAGTCTCTCTTGCTCCAACCGCCGCCGAGGTCCGCAATGTTTACATCGCGCCGATTGTGTTGATCGGCTCGCGAGCGACGACACTTTTTGCCCTTCATTTGACGTTTGACGAATTTTCCGGGAATAAGAAGTCGGAATTTCTCAGTTGGCGCTAATTCTAATATATCTGTTCTAATATATCACTTTTTTTGTACAGTAGAAAAGTGTTGCAGAGTTTTATTATAGTTATAAGTTTTACTTGTAAAAACTTATGTACACATATATACAATAAAAAAAATAATTTGAGTTTGATACTTCTAAAAATAACACAATACGTGTTACGCTTGTACTTGGCGCCTTTTTTTTACCTTTTTGTTTAAAAAGGTAAGTTTTATATAATATTAAATATACATACGTTTCATGTATAACGTGATTGACTTGGAGTACTCCGTGCCCACGCATGTTATTCATAGTGACGCATTCATACTTTCCCTGATCTGTTACATCGGATTCGATAATCTGCAAGGCACCTGAAACATAAAATGTGATATTCTCGAACAGCGTTCCTCTCAGGATTTTCTTGTCCAAAGAAAGATCAATGATATGATCGCAGATCTCGTGTATGTCATGTCAAAATAGAGACAGTTTGAATTCGGCGTAATATGATTCTTGGAACAGACGTAAATAATTATTGTGAAGTTTGAAGCGACTCTCTCTCTCAGGCATGCTTTGAAAACACGAGTTGTTTTCATTTTCAGCTAACGGACGACGCAGGCATTAACATTGATCGGCAAGGTGAGGGGTAACCGTGCCTTCCCGATTGTTTATTTCGTACGCTTATATATGACTCCGTGATTGCGGAAAGGACATTGCGCCTCGGGCCGACGAACGACGCGCATACCGCGACGCAGAGTCGCAGTAATCGGTTAATACGCGTTTCTTTGTCCCCGAATCTTACTTGCGCGAGTGTTAGAGCTAGAGTCAGTGTCGTCGCCAGTGCTACGATGGAGTACCCGGGGGTGCTGCGACGGAGTAACCAGAAGGAGGACGTCGGATCGAGAAGTCAGGATGGAGAGAGGACTCGGAGCGCGCCGAGAGACGTAGCCAAGGACAGCGAAACATCATGTATGGTATTCGAGGTACCTCGAGTAATTATTATTACGCAGAATTTTTCTAATTTTAACAGACCTTACTCGAAGTAAGGACATACCCGAGTCGAAATTAGATCAGCATTCATAGTTTATCATCTGAAAAATAGCTTGAGATTTGATTATTCGTTAAACTAATTTCACGTAACATGAGTTCTACTTTTCTTTTCTCGTAAAATATGAATGTCTATTCAAGCAAGGTTGCTGAGGCAAGCTAAGGTTTATGAATACAAATTTTTAATTATATTCTCAATGAAAAATTGCACATAATTTAAAAAAACTATGAATAATGATCTTAGAATCTGATATAAATTTTACTAGTGTTGATTTTTATTCGTCTAATAATGCTCAGATTGCTGTTTTCGTTTAGAATCTGCTAGAATGTCCGTTTCTCATTCTTGTTTATCTTTCTTATTGTATATATACCGAATCAGAATTAAAATCTCTATTAGTGAAACAGCATTATTAGACATAACCGTTGTCTTTTTGCAGCTTCAGCTCTTTTAAGAGCTACAATTCTCATCATTCTCATTAGAAAAAAGAAAAGAAAAAAAAAGAGAAGAAAAAAGGAAAAAAGAACTTTAAGAATGATGAGAATAAAAAGTGTTTTTCATCCCCCATTTCCTCTAATTCTTATATGATTATTTAATCCTTATATATTTATCTCACGCAGTTCTAACAAAGGCAGTTCTATTTACGTTTTTATCTTTGTTCTCTTTTTTGCGCTGTTAAGCGAATATATAATCAAAATCAACAAAAATTGCTCATTTAAATTAAGAATATAAGGATTAAGTACATATATATTATCGAAATAAACGAGTATTAAATAACTGCGGAATACGTCGCTGTTGAAGACTCATCATGGGCGAGACTGCGAGAGTAGCCAGATGTAACGTTCAGGTAGGACAAAGCTTGTTCACTATTGCGCACCTAGATATTCTACATTGATTTTTCAAATTGGATGAAATTTGCAGGATCAATGTAGAATTAATATTTCGACTCGGGAAAGACTCGGGAATGAGAACGAATTGTCATTGCACTTGGACAATCTTCTGACACTGATTTCTGGTATTGATCGATATTCGATTTTTGGTATTGATTTACTCTTTCATTCCTCTACAAGAAAAAAAAATTGATACGACTCGTCCATTTAACCGCGTTAATTTGATGAATAAATTAAATATTGATCGGTCTTCAATTTTCGGTACTGATTTATTCTCTCATTTCTCTATAAGACAAGAAAAATTGATACGAATCAATCGTTTATTCGAGTTAATTTGTTGAGTAAATTAGAAAGATAAACACCCGAAACATGAGAACAAATTGTCATTGCACTTGGACAATTCTCTGACACTGATTTACGGTATTAATCGATATTCGATTTTCGGTACTGATTTACTCTTTCATTTCTCTATAAGAAAAAAAAATTCATACGAATCGTTCATTTAACCGCGTCAATTTGATGAATAAATTCAATATTGATCGGTCTTGAATTTTCGATACTGACTGATTCTCAATTCAATCAATACAATTTTCTAACGCTGATTTATAGTATTAATCAATATCCGGTTTTCGATACTGATTTAGTCTTTGATTTCTCTATAAAAGAAAAAAAGATCGATATAAATTGTTCATTTATCCGCGTTAATTTGATGAAAAAATTAGATGTTGAACGGTCTTTGATTTTCAGTATTGATTTATTTTCTCATTGTTTTACAAGACAAAAAAAATTTATACGAATCGTTCGTTTATCCGAGTTAATTTGTTGAATGAGATTAGAGGGGTAAGTACCTGAAAAATGAGAACAAATTGTCATTGCACTTGGACAATTCTCTGACACTGATTTACGGTATTAATCGATATTCGATTTTCGATACTGATTTACTCTTTCATTGCTCTATAAGAAAAGGAAAAATTGATACGAATCGTTCATTTATCCGCGTTAATTTTTTTTTTTATTATATATAAATGGTCCATGGGGCGATTAAATATTCGAATACATGTTGCCGTATCAAAGTCTCCTCTATAATAAACGATTTGACACGTCTGGGGACGCATGATGTATCGTTGCCTGCATCCCATTCCCTTCGTCCTACTTTTCTGTATAAAATGTCGAATTGAAACGTATTAAAAAGTATTGACATTTTGAATATGTCTGATTTCTGAATCTTTTTGATCCGAAGAAAAGGATTGAAAAGTATTAGTTTCCATTAAATTTTACTGCGCTAAATGCGAGACGGTCTTCTTTCACCCGAGTGCCTCACCAGGGAAATTTTTCTGGTATTCTCTGGTAAATCCCGTAAGGTCATCAGTCTTTGTAGTATATCTCGTCGGTGCATAAGGTTTTATATTACCTGTACATACATATTTTGAAACATTTTCTTTGGATATTATATCAAACGGATTTTGCGTGTTACGTAATATCCTTCGGACTACACGGACATTATTATTTTGATCAATTTGATTTCTTTGGTATTCATTGAATTATCCAGAACGCGCAACTGCCATGTTGAACGACTCAATTGTCGTGTGAAATGTTTCGATTTTCACAAATTCATATAAAATTTTTCATTTTTCACTGATTCACAGAAGTCTTTTACTTTTTATTAGTTCATGCTAGGGAAAAGATTCATGATCGCTGCCCTGAGCAACTGCAACGCTTTTCAAATCATCTATGTCGGCGCGCTTTTACTCCTCAGATTTCTGTCATTAATAACTCGATAATTATTGCGAATCTCGCAAAATGGTATGGGACTTTTATGTTTGTCTCAACCCAATCTACCCTCACACTTCGGGTTGGCAGCTAATTACCGGACACTTCGTATGATCTTCATGATATTAATCATACACAATGTCAATTCTTTTTTTTTTTTGCACATGTTAACATGTTAATTCATGTTATAAACGCGTAACAATGTGCGAGACCGTGCTTGTCAAATATGCTATTATGGTTGTAGCACGGACATAAACCGCCTAAAAATGGATGTAGCACGGACTGCCACCACATTTAGGTTTTACCTCCGAAACCTGAATGTGGATGTAGCCTCGTAGTTCCCCTCTCAAAATGGATGCAGATGGCGGCCTTTCCCAGTGCGAAAAATCGGTGTCGTCGAAAACACCGTGTTGGCCGCTCTCACGTTCCTCTCTGATATTACCTCGTCGGTGGGTATAATAACATTGTCCTAGAAGAGTCACTAGAGAGAATAACACTTGGAGCATGCTTATTTGATAACATACTTTTGAATTTTTTATAAGCCTAAACATATGACAAAACGATTCGTAGGAAACCGTCATTGTTCCTGGTTGTGTGTTAGTGATATATGAGAAAGTAAGAAGTAATTCCAGGAACATCAGCTCAATCAATAGCTCAATTAAGCTCGGAATGGTAACGCGAAGATCTATCAGGTTTTCTCTCAGGCTTATATTATATATTTTTGCTGTGGTTTTTTCATTTCAATTATTTTCATACATTATAATACATTATAATACATTATAATACATCCACATTATACCGTTATCGTTACAATTATATCATTTCTTTTATTTTCATAAAATGTATGAAAACTTTATATAACATTAAAAATTTTATCGTATACTTATTAAAATAACAGAGTTCTTAGGAAACTTTAATTTTCGTTTTAATAAAGTCCAAATTGTAGATTTAACGGAACTTTTATTATCGTTGGATATGGAGATTCTTGACAGTTGACTCACCTATAGCTGGCGAATGTCAAATAGTTTTATCTGTAGCGTGATTAAATATTTATCATTACACCAAACATCAAGGAATAAAACGTTTGATCAGCCGCCGCCGACAAAGTTCCTCGGTATATAAATGTGTTTATAACCTCATTCAAGATTTAGATCAGTTAAGGTGGAATACCCAAGTGGTTTGGCCTCCACTTGTTGTGCTATCTTGTATCTTTATATTTTATTGTATATGATCTCTCTTTTTTGTTATTTGTACCTTTGTATTCAGGAATATAACTTGTACAAAAATTACAAAAAAGTGTCATTGCAATCATCATTTCTATCTTGGATACTCATTATATTTGTACCTTTCTTTTAGATACGTGTTGCTGCAGTTTATAAGACAACATGAAGTTCGCAGAACATCTATCTGCTCATATAACGCCTGAATGGCGTAAGCAATATATTAGCTATGAGGTATGATTTAAATATACATATTTAATGTTATTCTGTGTTAATAGAATATACACATAAAATACAGAGAACTTACAATAAAACATTGATGTTTAATTGTTACTTCAGAGCTACTTTTTAAATTTTAAATGTTACTTTTTTGAATTTATAGGAGATGAAAGCAATGCTTTACACAGCAGTGGAAGAAGCACCATCGGCTGAAAGTGTGGAACCAGAAGTGATATCCCGTCATTTTGCTTCTTTTGATGAAGTTTTTTTCACATTTTGTGATCGTGAATTAAAAAAGATCAATACCTTTTATTCTGGTATGAATTCCCTGGTACTAAAATTGCTTTATAATATTTCCTGTGGGCAATTGTATTAACTATTTCTTGTTTATCATTGTTTTGTTATAGAAAAATTAGCAGAAGCTACACGCAAATATGCAGCTCTGCAAAGTGAATTGAAAACTGCATTAGAGCAACAAGGCAGTGGAAAGAACAAAGGGAAAATAAACACAAAACCGCTTTTACCCACTAGAAAACTAAGAGAGCTAAAACTTGCGTTTTCTGAGTTCTACCTTTCTCTGATCCTACTTCAGAATTATCAAAACCTGAATCACACTGGATTCCGCAAAATTCTCAAGAAACATGATAAGGTATTTGCATAAGATGGTATTACGGTGTTTCTTCTATTATTATGCTCATCAGTTACAGTTTGTGTAATTTCAGAGACCACAATTATCCTAATAATATAACTGTCATTGTATATTTCCCTTCATAATTGCAAAACAGTGGCAAGAACCAGCTGCTATGCATGCACATAAAATCCATATTTCCTCTATGACCAAGTAAAACATAGTTATTGTTTTTATAGTTTGTGTTATCTCATTGCACAATGGTCTCTAATCTGTCTATAACATATCTCTAATAATTGTTTCTAGTTACTGTCAGTTGATGCTGGTTCAAAATGGAGAGTCGAGTGCGTGGAGATTTCACACTTTTATACCTCCAAAGACATTGATAAACTGATACAGGAGACCGAGACTACAGTGACAAACGATTTGGAAGGTGGAGACCGTCAGCGTGCCATGAAGCGTCTTCGAGTGCCACCACTTGGTGAACACCAAAGTCCATGGACCACATTCAAAGTCGGCTTGTTCTCTGGTAGTTTTATTGTTCTGGCAGTTGCAGTTGTCCTTTCAGGTATTGCTAAATTATTTATATAGACAGGAATTTGTTTTGAGATAGAAAATTTCGAGATTCTCCACAAATTTTCATTTTGCGCGTATGATTTTCAGCGCGTATGTCTTAAATAATGTTTTGAGCTCAAACTTATGAGATATTAAGTCAGTATCTACGCGATCAGTACTTATTCCACCGCACGTCATAAAAATAATCAATGTTGCGAGAGGAAACGTTTGTCGTTGTTTGTCGATGTTTGTTGAGAAAAGAGTTTGCTGGAAACTTTTTCAGGTTTCTATATATCATAATTTATGACATGTTTACACAACTGTATCTTCCAAAGTTGTTTGTTTTCAGCGATCTTCCACGATGGCGGAGAAAACCTGAAAATCGCATTTAGACTGTACCGCGGCCCCTTGCTTATCATCGAATTTTTATTTCTTATTGGAGTCAATGTTTACGGCTGGAGATCTTCCGGTGTGAATCACGTCTTAATATTCGAACTGGATCCACGAAATCATCTATCTGAGCAGCATCTCATGGAATTAGCTGCTGTCCTTGGAGTCATTTGGACACTTAGTCTGTTGAGTTTTTTGTATAGCGCCAGTTTGAGCATACCGCCTTACGTAAATCCGTTAGTACTTGTCTGTATAATGGTGGTCTTCTTGATAAACCCACTCAAGATATTTCGCCACGAAGCTCGTTTATGGCTGTTGAAGATCATAGTAAGTATAATAACGTGCGCATCAATGCCTCGCTCTATGAAAAAATAGGACATGGTTCTTTCCTTTGCTTCAGATACGCGTCGTGATATCACCATTTGCATATGTCAATTTCGCCGATTTCTGGTTAGCCGATCAATTCAACAGTCTGGCAACAGCATTTGTCGATTTGTATTTTCTGATATGCTTTTACATAATGAACGGTGATTGGCACATGCAACATGACAGTACAGAATGTACGTCTGGTACGTGTTCTATTATTATTAGGTCGTTTGTTAATTGCCTGCCGGCGTGGTTTCGCTTCGCGCAATGTGTCCGTCGTTATCGAGACTCGAAAGAGGCGTTTCCGCATTTGGTGAATGCTGGAAAGTACGCAACGACTTTCTTGGTGGTCGTAACTAACACTTTATCTAATTATTATGCAGGTATGTTGTACTTGTGATAATATAAAGTATATTTTTTTTATATGATTATACATATATATATGTATATATATATATATTTTTTTTAGCATCATATACCAGTCGTTGGGAAAATGGCTGGTTGTGGTCGTGGTTGTTTAGTTGTCTGTTAAATTCTATATATTCGTACACATGGGATCTTAAGATGGACTGGGGCCTTTTAGATAAAAAAGCCGTTGAAAATCGCTTTCTGCGAGAAGAGATGGTTTACTCGGCAGCTGTAAGTAGCGCGTATACAATGTGAACAAGATATACAAAAGACTCTACGTTTCACGTGTGTTTTAGGGATTTTATTACTTCGCTATAATAGAAGATTTTATACTGCGATTTATCTGGATTGTCAGTTTCATACTCGTCGAATGGAAATACGTCTCTAGTGACTTAATGACTTCCATAGTAGCGCCTCTTGAGGTTTTCAGGTAAGATCGTCCGAACACACGCGAGAATTTTCTCATGTACGTGTACCATTTTCTCATCGTGAAACTGCTTCCAGGCGATTCGTATGGAACTTTTTCCGACTGGAGAACGAGCATTTGAATAATTGTGGCAAATTTCGAGCTGTGCGCGATATCTCGATAGCCCCGATAGAAAGTTCCGATCAAACGCAGATTCTACGTATGATGGACGAGGAGGACGGGGTAACTAACAGAGGCAAGCGTAAGGGCGGCGGTAAGAAGCAGGGTAATACGAAGGAGGAGAGGCGAATGCTACTTAAGGATGAAACCGTAGACCTCGAGGTGTCGAATGTCAGTTTGATGTAGCTCAAGATTTATACAATATTCCCTTAAATTTGCTGCAACACGTTGTGAGTATTTTGAAACATAGTACTTAGAAACGGGGAGTGATAATTCCGCGCGATTTTGCAAATGATATGCACTTCATTTCGTTAGAATATAGATAATCGTCAGAATGTCAGCTGAAGATCGTAGATTCGGAACTGTTACAGTGCCTTTTATGTTATATTCTTACATAAAACACTTTGAGATGTATTGTAATTATGGCTTTAGCCTATGAGGTGTCTCATATTTGAGACATCTAAAGTTTAACATGAAAACTCCAAGTAAGTGATTGGTAGTGCCGCGACGTTTTCACTGCGTCGTGCTTGATCTATCGTTAATCTATCATTATTTCGTGTACTTGGCGTCGCCGCACTATCGCGCCACTTGATATTTGATATTGATCACAGTGCGATATTGATACAGTTATTCTACTGTTTTCGAGTGCAGTAGAATTCGAACTGATTCGAACGACAAATGCATGTTAGTTAAGTGTTCACTTAATTAACGCATGACATTTGACAGTCAACTCGTAAATGCAACAAGTTCCAAGCACTGACCTAAAACATTTTATAGTTTGCACTGAGTCTTCCAGCATAAGAAATAGCAAATAGTAGTTTGGATAACAGCTTTACGAAATTTGTAGGCTCCGGATCTATATAGTTGCATAGTGAGATGTAATATATATATATATATATATGTATATATACATTACGAATATATATACATTATATATATATATACGAATATATATACATTATTACATAATGTGTGTGTTTCGCATGCTGTGAGAGCTTTATGAATTGTGCCGTTATTGACAAATAGCTGAATGAAAATGTTGCATTGTCTGCTGTAATAATGATCTTTTTAGCTGTATCATCACCAAATTTATTCTAAAAGACAAAAACGCCGTTATTTAAATTGTTGTAGATCAGTATACTGCATATAAATACACGTATATGAACTATACGTATATTGTATAAATGGAATATTTACGCAACATAGTGTCTAACGTTATCATGCTCATAACGTAAGTGATATTAAACATATACCAATACTAGAGGCTGTTATAAAATACTTTTTTACACATACGGTCGCGGAAATAATAATAAGTGCCCGTTTTTTTGCAATTTTCGGAACGCATCCCGACTCGATAAAAATGAGAGTCACTGCTCCGCCTACGGAGCACGCCTGCGCAGTGACTCACGACGAAAGGCGAGAAATAGAAATGTTTATGTTTTTAAAACAATACGAATTTAATTAAGAGAATTAAGCTGCATTACGATAGCTACGATTCTGTTATACATTTATATATGATTTATTATTTATGCCTGAAAAATAAGAAATTATGCTAACAAATAGCGTGAACAATATCATTAAAACGCAAGATGATAGTAAACGTTACTTTATTTGGTTTGGTATCCATATTTGCATCATAAATTTCATCCTCTCCATCTCCTTTCTTCTTCCATGTACATGCCTGTATGTCCCAAAAATTTAAAATTCGCTATAACAGCTGCTTCTGTATCTAATATCATTGCTTCTGCTATTGAAAATGGCTGTTACTGAAACAATAAATCACATATAAATGTACAACAGAATCGTAACTATCGTAATGCAGCTTAATTCTCTTAATTAAGTTCTTATTGTTTTAAAAACACAAACATGTTATTTATCTCTACCTTTTTTCGGATGTTCCCCGGAGTATAAGACTTACATCGGATGATTCTTGTCTGTTCTGTGTTCCCTCATTTCCATTTAATACTGGAGTATTCATTTCATCTGAGTCTGTATTATCATAATATGTCCCACCGCGTATATTTCATTTCTCGCCTTTCGTCACTGCGCAAGCGTGCTCCGCAGGCGGAGCAGTGACTCTCATTCCTCTCGAGTCGGGATGCGTTCCGAAAGTTGCAAAAAAACGAGCACTTATTATTATGTCCGCGACCGTACAGTATGGTTGCGATATTTATATCATGTGTGTACGATCACATCGAGTACATTGTACATTGTTCCTTATCGACAGGGACAGTAGAGATGTACATTTAACACCGAATATTTCGTATATGTTTGATTTACTAATAATATATACATCATTTGGATACTTAGCATTTCGTATATAAGACAGTATTATAGTTAGCCAACTATTTTATATGGATTGTATAAAAATAATACTCCTGTTATGATGCTAATATATGATGAAAAAATATAGGCAATGCATCTTGTACCATGATAGTTATCCGATGCGCTCTTTCAGTTGTTATAAAAAAGTTATAAAAAAAGAATACATGCTCAACGAGAAGACAAGGTAGATTTGTGTTGTAGATGGTAGCATTTTCAAAATTGTATCTAGTACCTATATACTGTTAATTTATATACAGACGTGCCACCAAATAATTACTGAACAGAATTAAGATTGCGATTGTATAAATCACGCAAGAAAATAAACTTAAAGATCGTAATAGATTACGAAATAAAATACCTCTGCAATCTTTAATATTTATTTTCTTGTATGATTTACTGAGCAGATTATATGTCGGTATAGCATTTTATGGGACCTAAGGTACGTAGAGCGTTGTTAGACTCTGTTAGGTGAAGTAGCGGAAGGTGTGTGTTTCGAGTATGCAAAATTTATTTTATTGAGAATCCAATTATGTAATCCAACATTATGCGAATGCCTATATTATTTCTCTGTCGAAATTTTGTTGAGACGAAAATATCTATTTTGTTTTTTCGTGCTTAATCATAGGACGTACTTATCTGTAGGAAATCTTTACTGTAGTAAATAGCATTAGGGTCCTAGAAATGAATTTTACATGTTAGATCTTGTATTCCAGTAATTGTGATGATTTTATATGACTGTTTTCCTATATAAATAATAGTAAAAATTGCCTACAAAACGAATTAATATGAATATTTTTATATTATATATACAGCAAAGATATAACATGTATACATATACACGCGCGTATAAATTGCTACTATGAATGCATAATTGTTCAAGTAAAGCCATGTATATAATTTTCATTATTGTAATAAATCATATATATCGCCGATCATATACGTATATTACATATCATATATATTAACTGCGTTTTAATATATATTATTATTAATAAAATGAAAGAAATATATTTAGCAGTCGAGAAAAATTGGCAACCTGATGCCACTTGTACGTTTCATTTTAGTCCTCCATTTGGATTTGTAACTTTCGTTGCAGAATAGCGAATAGGTCTTAACTCCGGTTGAGCAAATAGCGTTTACGACGGAGTTACGTAATGAGATAACGTATAATAACACCGTGCTAGTCACTTCCTCCTTTGTTCTCTTGTCCTCCGAGAACGTTGGATCGTAAAGTCGTTTCTTTGAAGATCTTCGCGTGATTTCATATTGTCTGTATCGTATAGATTATCTGCCATACCCGTTATACAAAAATTGATGAAAAATTACAATAATATTCATATTTTCAGTTGCCTAATTTTTCATTGTTTTTTTTTTCTTTTTTTAGATTGTTGCATTGTCTTTTTAGACAAATTAATTACTTACTGAATTAACAGATGTATCACACAAGTTGTATTTTAAGCTTGTATGATATCATAAATTTCGAATGAGAACTTTGTTGAATCTAATTTACTAAGAATTACCGTTTCCCTCCATAGAAGATTAGCATTTACGCGGACAAAAACTCGGTAACATCAATCGGGGACGAAGTAGGAATAAAAAAACTTTACATTATATCTTAATTGACAATTTTAATAAAATGATATTCTTACTGCTTACATATAACATTACGTGTCGGCCATAATGACATAATAATATATTATTAACTATAGCTACAATAATCTGAGGCGACGTAACAATTGTAATGATTGTAACTACGATCAGCGTGTCATCATAATGTACGATAACAATCGAACGCGATGATATAATAAGGGGGGGACAGGTGAAGATAATAATAATAATAATAATAATAATAATAATAATAATATACTGTACAATATGTTGTTTGGGGACGCGTCAACAGCAATCGGCGCGCCGGACATCTTACATCGTAGGTAAAACAACAAACTTAGCAGATACGCCGAATCCTCTTAGTTCATCTAAGGATATATGTATAATAACAACCGTGTTCGTACGTGTCCTAAAAGTGGCAAATCCGCATGATCCGTTCGTTTGCGACGGCGCGAATGCTCGGGCTTTTGCATGCTTCCTCGACGTGCACGAACGTAGTTAAATAAAAATAACAGAAAACAACGTGTATAAGACTTGCTCGATGTGTAAAGCGAGGTCCAGTTGCTCCCTTCGTTTTTGCATAGTTACGCCTACTGATTAATACTACTAATTGGGTATTTACAAATCTCAATAAGAGCAGAAAGAACGTAAACTAACGTGGATCTCTGTGTCGTCGGCTCGGAATGACGTGAAACTCTCTATACGCATTCCGCTCATAAACAATCATTTGTGTATATATATATATATATATATTTATATTGCACATAAACGCGCCGTAAATATCAGTGGGGGAAGGGAGGAGGGTTCACTGAAATCTAATATCTTTCAGTAAAGTATCTAGAAAGTCTAATCTCGCAGGCTTAAAGCTATTTGTTAGATCGTGGTCCCCAGTAAACCATGTCTTTTCCTTGAAGCATTCAAGATGCAGATATGATCTGACAAGATGGAAACACAAGGTGTCTCTGAGAATCAAAATCTCTCTGAGAACGAAACTCCCCTTTACACACACACACACACACACGCACGCACGCACACACGCACGCATACACACGCACGCAAGTTCTTGATCATTCGTCTCGTCGACGTTCGCTCACGTGTCTCGTGCCGTAAATTATAGTTGCAGTATTAACAGTGTGCAGCGATCACGAATGAATGGGATCGGAGGCTGGGTCTGATCTCAAACGAGGCTCGCCGATTTATTGTCATGCGCTTGAATTCAACACGATAAACTCTAACGCGCACACCTCCAATCACCTGCTCGTCGTTCCCTCGGCCTCCCTCGACGCTAATCCCACTCACCCGCCGCTACAACCAGATAACTTGAGCTACTTAAATCTACAATGTTCGTGATGCAACAAATAGCGGGGAGGATATATGTAAGATAGAGCTGACAGAATGCTGCAGGAGACATTCATTCTCGATATCACTACGAAAGAGGATATCCTACGTGTAATAAGGCATGTATAAAGTATGTATAATATGTGAAGGTGTGTCGTCGGCGCGTTTGCGGTAGAACACATCGCTCCCCGACACGAGCGTCTCCGATTTTGAGTCGTCGCTCGCACTTGACCTCGCATTCATGCGCAATTTTTGCAGAAGAAAAAAAAGAAAGTCCGCGCGGTATTGTCTCTGCGAAAGATACGTGAGAAAGTAATGCGCCGCATGACGGTTCCTCGCCAAAACATGACACCGGTAGAGAGAATCCTTACGTTATCTCGATAACGCGGAAAAGAATTACGTTTCTCCCGACAAAGCGTCGTGATCGCTTGATACCTGCGAACACGCGTCAAATGGGATACACGAGGAAATCATTGATTGCGACCGGTCGCGTCGTTTCACTTAGCGTGATTAATACTGATCGCCGTCGTTCGTTTCATTCCACTTTCAGGACTCCAGCGGCGAGGATATTTACCGCGATGGAGGGAGGAAGAGAGAGGGCGCGATGAGCGCGTGTAGAATTAAAAAAAGCGGCCCCGTCGAGGAACCGTAATACTTTTCGCGGCATTGAGAAAATGACGAGCGGGCAAGAGAGGAACAAGGAGAGGGAGAGAGAGGGAGAGAGAGAGAGAGAGAGAGAGAGAGAGAGAGAGAGAGAGAGAGAAAGGTTAAAAAAAGGAGAGAGAAAGCAAAGAAAAGAAAGGAGAGGACCGACGCGCGTAAAAGCGAGGTAAAAGCGAGCAAAGCGAGCGCCGTTACGCGCGGCGCGTTCCGCGTTCGTCCGGCGCGCGGCTTCCAACACACAGCGATCATTAAGGAGCCCTCCTCGCGCGCGGAGAGAGACGGCACACAGAAAATCGCGTCGCGTCGCGTCGCTCCCCGACAGGTTGCCGAGTCAGTAGTTGCCGGTGGTGGTAGTAGCGCGGGAAACGAGCAAGCAGGTGGATGGGTGTAATAAGAAGGTAACGAAATGGACGCGGCGCGGGGCCGCGTCGTTGGAAGCTGACTGGACCGTGTCGGTCGGTCGGTCGGTTGGACGGACGGACAGACGGACGGACGGATAAGTATCACCGGTATATAAATAGTCGACGCGAGGCTGAATATCCTCCTCCTACCTTTCGAGAGGAGGAGAGACGGAATTCTCGTTCGCGAGTTTCCTGTCCTCCCCGGTTTCTTGCCCGTCCCGTTCTCGTCCGCGCCACCGCGGGAAAAAGTGGTCGCAGACGCTCGTCGGGGAAACGCTCGCTCGCTCCTTCTTCGTCGCTCGCTAACGCGACGCGAGGACTTCGTCGGTGCTTTATCGTCGCATGCCTCGGTGAACGTCAGATAAGCGCGATGATGAAGAGGAACAAAGCGGTTGCATGTATCAGATTGATTTGCTTCGACGGCATTTTCGGCTAATGTGATCGTCTTGAAATCGGCGATACAACATAGTAAAAGCGGCGGGCATTTGTTCCGATGGACATTCTCATACTCATGCACAAGCTGATAGCATCGCAGCATCGATTAAGGACGACTCTCTCTCTGCCATTCCACGGAATTACACAGTTTATGAGAAAACAGAGTTATTTTTAACAGTTGCTCTCTCTCTCTCTCTCTCTCTCTCTCTCTCTCTCTCTCTGTGCGCGCGCGCGCGCTCATAATTGCACAGCGGGATGCCCGATGGAAATTAATAAGCTGGAGTATTAATCGGAATATTTGTACGGAATTCCTCTAACCTCGCCGCTCTGCGATATAAATAACGAGTTTTTAATATTCTCACGTACCGACAATCCTTTTATAAATAAACGTGCAACAAGATATATACGCTTCAGTAGAATACGATCGTGATATTCGTTCCAAGTTATATCGACTTAAAAAAAGAGTGACCACATAAGAACGATGAATCGAAAAATTCCATTTACGTTTCCCTACAATCTCACGCGTTTTAATGTCGATCAGAGAGACGAGAGACGCTCTATCGGTACACGGCGACTCGCAATGGATTTTGCTAGGATCGTATCCTTAAGCTTATGTCGTAGACTCTTGAGCTACCGTATAGGTAGGACGGAACGTTGTATCCAAGCGGATTACGGTGTGTTTCTAGTAACTTGATATGTTTCTTACACCTTTTCCTCTTCCTCCGGTCTCTAAAGGGCAAGCGATAAGGTCCCCGCAGAAAATAGGTCGAGCGGTAGAAATCGGCAGAGTTTCGCTCCGCGAGGTTTTCAATCTCCCAGTTTCAGATACACGAATCCCTCGACTTTTTCAGTTGGTTAGTATTTTTTCTTTAAAAAGGCAACGTGATTCGACGAATGGCAAAAAAAGAAAAAGAAAAAGTTTACTCTTCATTCTTGCGAGAAAAATAATCTGTTTAATCCGGCAATCGCAAAATAAATTTGCCGTTATGAAGCGAGAGGAAAGAATGTCCAAAAGACGTTCCAATGAATCATGACTTGAATCTCCGACGATCAGACGGGATTCAGCCTCGCTTTCTGAATGAACCTCCGTCTATTCCTTTTAGTTCGCCTTTTCTTTGCAGGTAGAATACTGTTACAGACCAACACTCACGCCCCACGTGCTGTCCGCGTAGATTCCGCGCACGAAAAATGCGAGGGAATCTCGCTGCGCCGACGTGACCGATAAACGACATTCATTATTTGTTCGAGCGCCGTTCATTGACGTAAGCGCGGGCGACTGGGTTTCTTTCTTCTCATATTTTTCTTCTCCATTTTCTTTTTTTTTTGAGAGCAGAGTATTGTGTAAATTCAAATACGACCAATTTTCGTCGACTCTTATGCCGATTCGCATTACTTACGGATTGCAGACACGAGTCGTGTGTATTTTTATTTAAACACGATGCACACAGTGGTCTTTGCAAATTGCTGTTGACTAAGTAGCCCTCGCAGTAGAAAAGTTTGTGGGCGATCAATTAGCAAAGACCGCTGAACGCATCAAACTGGCACCGGTGTGTCCCGGCGTGTCCCTTTGTGTCTGCAAAATAAAAGGCGCCGAAGCGACTAATGGGACGCGCTCTCAGAAGTAGAATGTAAATGCTGAAATTTCAAGATTTCACGATCGAGAAGCCGATGCAGAGCTCCAGCGATCATCGACGCGTAAAACCCTCGACACCGTTCCGCAATCCGCAAGAAGTACGTTCGCTCTTCACGACGGCGAATAACGATTGCCGTTTCCGGCGCCGTCGTGAACACTATTCGACAATATCCTGCGCGTAATAAATACCATGCGAACTCGAAAGAAGTTAATGCACTGTCTGCGTATGATACTGCGCACTCAATCGCGAACATCGCCGTCGCGATCGGGATGGTTCCCGTGCACGTGTCTCGCTGCGATTCGAAGACCTCGAGCTACGGCGGCAGAAATCCCACACTCGCGGTAACACGAGAAAGACCTCTGCGACGCGTTCCTTAGCACCACACAAGCGTAGATCGGCGTTATTCTTCATCGACTCGTTCCGCTCCCGTCGAGCAGGAGAAGAAAGCCCGGGTTGCCGACACACCTGACGCGTTTCCTCGCGAAGAAGCGTCCGCGTGGCGGAGCCTAGCGACGCCAGGCGCTTCCACTTCATCGTGGAAGATACACGTACACGAGTCACAGCCCGCGAGAGCCTTGGTCGTGCCTGCCTTGGACCTCCGCGACGCGAATCCTCTTTCTCTCTCTTTCTCGTGCGCACGACTCCACGTCGTCTCGGATGCGTCGTGATGGTGCGCGTTCCCCTCACATCGTGGTCCTCGTCGACAGGGAATCGCGACGGGTAGAGCTGATCCCGCGGTCGGGAATGATGGGGTGGGAGGTGGAGGAAGAGTTCATCGGATTGGCGATTTCCCCGTCGACGAGACGGACGGTCGTGATGCGAAGATGAGGAGGAACGACCATGTCGTCGACGTGGTCGCTCACAAGTGGGTGATGATGATCTCGTCGTCGAGGTCGTCCTTCTCGTCGTCGGTCTCCTCTGGCTGATTCGCCTCGGCCTGGGCGGCCTTCGGGTCCTCGGCGATTGCCTTGAGCCGCCGTTGCTTGCGCCTGTGCAGCAGCTCGACCACGATGTAGCCCATTGTGCCGGTGATCAGCACCGTCAGCATCACGTACAGCTTCATACGGGCGCAGAGGTGCGTGCTGTACGCGTAGGCGATCACGAAGCCGGCGCTCTCCCACAGCCTGTAGTTGGAGAAGGCCGCCTCCTTGTTGCGCCTGAAGAGCGTGCCATAGAGTCCTGCGAAGATACACCGAGTCGATCAGACATTATCACACGGCAGACCGGAGAAAACAAGTGAATCTGGTCAAGGTAATTTGGAAAGGCATCCAAGAGTACCACCAACTAGGAAAGGACTTTTCACGGTCGTTACGGTTACAATTGACTCCACACAGTCTTGTCTCTCATGCAACAATCGCGGAAGTACAAAGTTGCTTAATACTACTTAATCCGAGTCTCTCATCTCAGGGGAGCGACAACCTGTCCGCCACCTGCGAATGTTCAATTCGCCGCTGCTCACAGCAATGACCCGGGGAAAGATACAGACGATTGGCAGGTTGTTTTGCTTCATACGTCTTATATCGTCTTTAGACCTCGCACGTTTTTCATCCAAATTGTGACTTTAGCCGAGCGAGATTGCTCTTCCAGTGTTAATGAATATGTGCGTGTCGAGGAGAAACATCCGGCGCGTGCATTAACGAGGCGGTATCGGAGGCACGAGAAGGTGTTTTACAGCGTAGCCGAGCGTTACGAAAGTCAGGAGCTCGTTAGGAAATCACGCTGCTAGCTCACGTCGAGAGATATCTCGTTTGTTGCGGGTCGACTTGGCAGGTGCTCTTATCGAAATCGCGGTAATCGTATGCGACGACGCGTGTGGGTGCATCCAGATACCACGTGCGTGCATCGAGGTCGGCCGTGCCGGCGCTTTATGCTCGTCGCCGCGGTTCGTCCGGCGACGGCATTAACGAGTTCGCGGATGCCGCGTGCGCTTGGATCGAAATCCTTGACCTGACTCTCGTTAGATGCGCCTTCGGAGAGTGCATAATGACGGTAATGATAGCGCACCACCACCGACGAGAGACCGGGTCCGTTCGCGACCGGCTCGCGCGTTAGAAAAGTAAAAGGTCCGCAAAGAGACGGGAAGTTCGCGGGAGAGGAGTGCAAGAGCGGGAGAGCGGAGACTCGGCCCGGCGGAAATCGCAGAATACGCAGGAGCTAGGCCTGTGTGTCGAGGTAATCCTGTTAACGAACGGGTCAGAGAGAAAGAGAAAGATATGAATACGTGTTGGCTTTCTGTTACGCGACGAAAGGTCTCTTCGTCATCAACGGTGATGCTTTTCCTCGGAGGGCTCGAGATATCGAAATTCTTCGATGAAGAACGCCTCCCTCTTCTCCGGATAAATGGGATTCTCTTCTGGATCGCGACACGACGAATGCGCACAATTACTTGACCGAGCAGGATACAACGCGAGCGCAGCCATTCACACATTGTGCGTTTAAACGTGATGAACGCAGCGCGAATTTGCATATCGGTTTCTGCTGAATCTCTCGCCAGGCTCGACGGATTAATCTCGTCGCGGCGATCAATCTCGCCCCGCGAGTCCGCGCGCGAGAAGAAGAAAAAACGTACAAACGCCTGAGACTCGCTTTCCGGCGGTGTAATTGTGCAGAAGCTCTAATTACACCGGCAGAAACCTGTTGCGCGCGAACAACGCGAAATTACCGGTGTGTCATTCGCGCCGTTTGTTACTCGGGCGAATTTCCGCGGTTCCGCTCGCAAACGAGCGAGCAAAATCGATGCGAAATTCCGTCTCGGCGCGTACAACACAATACGCCGTTCGCTCGCTCGCTCGATCTTATGTTGTTCTTATTACATCCCAGAAAAAAGGTGACCGCGATTATCTTCCCCTTCCCCTTTCCTCCTCTTCCCGCCGCTCCCAAATGGCAGGGAGCCTAAAAAGCGAACGTCCATTTGTAATAATACTTAACGCGGCTTCTTCCTCGCGGCTTATAATTGCGAGATGAGTACGACGCGCAGAACGAGACGCACAATCGCGACTCCCATGTCCTTGAGCGCGAAAGCCTGGCGGAAAAAAGTACTGCTAACTGGTGTCTCTTTTTTATATTTGCCACGAGGGACAGTGTAGCTGCGAATTTTGGATATAATCCAAGACGAGCGCGAAGGCCGGGATCGTCATCTTGCCATGCCGCAATACGCGTGTATTCGCACATGCGAATTATGACGAGAGATCCCTCTCTCGTCGGCAATATAAAGAGGTGCCGACGATACGTTACGTATAGATTTCTATCGAGGAGAAAGAATAAGTCTCGCGTGATTATACATTCAAAGTCGCGAGAGTTATGGTCACGCGAATAAGTCGGCGAGCCGACGCGTCTTTAGGTGATTACTTGGGACGTGTCGCCAATCGCTAAGAGAATCTTGCTGTTGCCAGTGGCGACGCGGTCATTGAAGCGATTTAGTTGCTCGTCCATTCGCTCGATTTATCGTCTGCCCCGGCGCGAATGTGTTTTCGATTACGTCACGATATTCCGTCCGTCCGTCCGTCCGTCTCGTTAGTGCCGAACGGTCGCCACAACGGTGTAACAACGCGAGCTTCTTTCTGAGCAGCGTGCGTTTCCAGGTGTAAAATGCGCAGCCGATGGACCTAACGGATGCTCCGCGACGATGAGATCCTTTTTTTCTGCCGATCTTCGTCGGTCAGTGACCTGAGCTCGCGATATCGAGGGGACTCTTCGTCGTCGTCGTCGGGACAAATGACAGGCGAGACGGATATTCTTTGACGTAATAGCCGCCGAAGTGTCCATCAGGTGTAGCCAACCGACGTGTCAATTTCCGCGTTCGTTGCGAACGGACAAATTCAGCCGCGCGTCTGTACGGCCGCTCAAAATTCATGGACTCGGTTCCTGAAGCGACCTGAGGGAGGCGTAATGAATAGAAATTCGCGAGTGTGAGACGTCTTCTTGCTGTCCTCCTTGTGTTGTGAGCGGTCTCAATCCAACGCGGAATACCGATCAATTTTTTAGCCCCGCAATGGCGCAACGATACATTGCACGACTCGTTATGTTCGATTGTACGAATAATGGCACGCCGCCGGAGTCGCGATTGCAACAGCGTTCGCTTCATGATATCTCACTTCGGCGATTGAAACGGTGACGGTGACGGTTTCGGAGAGCTGTCCGAATCGCGTAAACGAATGTTGAAATTCATCGACTAATCTCCACAGGTCAGTAATAATCTTTAATCTGCACAGGTCAGGTCAGGATGAATTTTCCAATGGAAATTCGTGGAAACAAAAGATAGGAGTTTATTTGCTGCGTCGTGAATCATATGTTGTATCGTTTGTATCATTTTTTTTTCTTTCAGATACTCACCGTTAACTTGCGTCTGCCACACGGCGTCGCCCACACCCCACAGGCCGGAGACGGAATAAAAAACATAGGGATTGTCAGGGTGAGGCTTCCACATGAGGAGGACGACCACGAGGGAGGCGTGAACGATGGCACCCAGTGCCATCAGCGGCTGTCGGCCGACGAATTTCATTAACGAGCCGAACAGCAAGGAGCAGCCGGCATTGACCACCCCGAAGCAGATCATGACGTAGCCGACCCTGTGGACACCCAGGGCGCAGGAGATGTACGCCTGGAAGGCAAACACAAAAGGATTCGATTTAGTACTCGCTTTCTTTTTGGCCCGTCGAAAACGACAATCCATATGCGACGATGTTCCGAATCTTTTGTATAGAGAGAGAGAGAGAGAGAGAGAGAGAGAAGGATACGCTGATAAATTAGATCGATAATTAACACACAATGCTCGCGTCCTCGTTATCGACTCTGTATATACAATTATCCGATTTTGAGTCAAGTGTCTATTTGTGTTGGACAGTCAGCTTTCTAGTTGACCAAATCTTCGACGAATGTTTCACAATATATTTCCTTCTATATTTTGTGATATCGTGTATTGTCACAAGAAACAGAGTATCGATAATAATTTGTATTGGAATGTTACAGCAATAAGTCATTTTAATTACTGACTTTAATTACTGACAATTGCACGATTTTTTAATGATTATAAAAATTGATAAAAATGATAAAAATCAATAAAAAGTAAAAGTTATCTACAACATAATGCTACCGTCTGAAATCCGTGCAACCCGCAACACGGGCAAGATGTCGGCCTCTTACGTTTTCCACATATACAACACATTTGGTGGCTTTCAGAGGTGTGCTAATCGGATTTTTAAAACAGACTATTCAGTCTGACCGGTCAGTCCGGATTTAACGTTATTGGACGTTGCAGATAACAGAATGTTAAATCTTTTCTTTTCTATGCATACTGAATGAACCATTGCCCTTGTCTCGAGGCTGATGTCAGACTTCCTCCGCGTATGCATCAGGGTAATTATAATTCCATCAATCAGCATGTGGCACAAGACGCAACGACAAACCGAGAGGAACTCTCTCAGTCTGCCAGTTCTACAATCGCGTTTTTATCTTCATCTAAATCCATTATGTGCGACGCAAAATATGAGGCCCAGGAGCCGTCGCTTTTAGCTTGCGAAATCACAGGTACGCTCGTCCTTGAATAATCGAGCGTGTTACAAGGACATTTCTTCTCGACGCCACATCCGGATATCTAGCTCTGTACGTCATTCCTGTTTTTATTAAAAGTTTTTATAAAAAAAGAAGAAACAAAAATCTTTGGCAACGAACATGATAATTTCTGATAAAGATTAAAATGAAATATCTCATCGTGCGTGTGTGATCGTTCGGCTCGATCGTTAACCCGTAAGTGCCTAATTAAATTCCGGATCTCCTTCGTAATTTCGGGTTGGAATTTTTACGGCGATCCTACAAAAAGTCTCGTCAATGGACACTTAACGCCTTACGAGCAGGTTACGACTCGACGCAACACTTAATACCGAATACAGTGTTATTTTTGGCAACGGGCCGGCACATTGTTGGCTCAGAGCAACGTGTCTTCGATGCATCGTCTTTTGCTTTAGAACGTGCAGATTGTATAATCCCGGACAGAGACGTCGAATGATTCATTTACAATGGTACACCACATCCGTTTTAATTTTTTGTGTCGTACGTAATTAGCGGAAAATTCAATATTCCGTTGGTAAGTAACGCAAATGTATAAGATCTAAGCAAAGTATATGAGAGTCAGTAAATGAGAGAAAAAGAGAGAGAGAGAGAGAGAAAATCAGCATATATGTCTAATTACAATGAAACTATTATTTTATTTATTTATTACTATTATTTATTACGAGTGTAAGTCATTTTCTAAGCTCATCCGCAAAAATACGTGCTTTATAACGCTTATGAAATACAAAAAGAAAACTCATTTATATTTAGCAACTTATGGCAATATAAGTAAAGTAATTTCCTCGACATTGTACATGCATTGGAGAATCTACTTATTTTTATATGCACATGTATTGTCCATGTTATATTGTATTATCCCGTAGCTCAAGGCGAGCGACTACGGCATGAAGCCAGTTCAACAAGTGAATTCTCAAAGACGTCTCAATTAATACGGCGGATGGGCGCTACGCTCTGCTCAACATAAGTCAATAAATTTGCACCTAATGAATCGACGAGCAGACGTCACTTCTGACTCACCCGCGTTATATTTCTGTGTGTAGGATGATGCTCGGCAAGTCACAAAAGTATGATTACGTGAAACGACGTGCTGTTTGAAAAGTTACGCTATCGAGCAACAAATTACGTTTGCGAGCACTGAAAGAATTCCAGTCTACATAATTCATTCACCACACATGATCGATAACAAAGTCCGATAACAATCTGACGGATTTGTGAGTATAAAATGTTGTGTGCAAGTTTCATCACTATCAGCGTGTCTTGCAACTTCTATTTGATTTTTCCGCATCTCGCGCCTCTTTCGTACCGTTTTCACGTTAGAATTCATACAATTTCGTGAATAAGAGAAAAATCAACAAAAACATCAGCAGAAGCGATCAAAAGCGTTCACTCGACGACGGACGGTAAATGTAGCGTATTTACGTCGGCTGTTTAACCGGAGACGTCACATCATCGCGGTCCTTTAATATTTCAGCGCGACCATCCGCGGAACAGCATCCAGCCGTTTGAATGGGCTTACGTGTCCCGAGGCATTTACGAGATCGGCTCGCAACGAGCCGCGGCCACGACACGTGCACGCGTATGCGTGCACGCACGCGGTGCACGTGTGAAGGAAATACTGGTACGCACGAGACTCCAGGTATGGAAGCGGTATCGCTGGATCGGCGCGAGAATAAGTTCGTGGTGCTATTTATAACAAGCCCCAGCGCCAGCTGACTCAGCGCAGCGACTGCAACCACTACAACCTCTCCTCTTCTTTCTTTCTTTCTTTCTTTCTTTCTTTCTGTCTCTCCCTCCCCTGTCTCCATCTCTCCTCCTCTCTTTCTTCCTCTTTTTCATCTCGTTTTCTCCCAGTCCGCGGTTTAATTGCCCAATTACCCACGTTGCTCCACAAGTCGAAGACGTCGTATTCGACCTGTCGGCGAACCAGTTTCGAACGAGTCGCGATCGCGGGCGAGGCTCTTTTTGCCGTAATACAGGGTCGCTCAATAACGAGGGGGTTCACCCGAAGCGCGACCTTCCTCGATTAATTCCAGCCTCTTACGTGGAGTCCCCTCCCAAAGCCAGCTCCTTCCCAGCGGCTTCCACGTCAATGAGATACCTCGGCAGTTCCGAAGAGGATCTAACTAAATCGATCATCCATAAATAGATCTCTCTTTTAAGCGAAGGAGATTCTCCGTACCCTCTCACGCAGTGAAATATGTCAAATATTCGCACTAGCATAGCTAATACAGAATTGATTCGGAAAGATCCCAGAGCCAGGAGGTAGCCAGAAGCGTAAACTAATCTCGTGGTCTCGAGTGCGATTTAACTTTAATGCGCTGCTCCATAATTAATCATAGCCGTGTAAAAAGCTTCTGCACACACAGCGCAGTGGTTTCACGTGAGCCTGCGCACTCGGGTCAGGTTTTTCTATTTTACCGCGAACGAACTCTCGGACGTACGTAGACGTATCCAGTTTGACCAGTCGTATACAGTTGTATCTTTGTAAGGAGGCTGTCTTAACGTGGAAAATAAGCAATATTCCCGGTAAAGCACACGCGCGCAACGTCGCTTCGTAAAAATCGACGAGCTGAAACTCCGGTCGGGCTAACGCGAAAAAGCGCGAAGGCTGATCCGTTAAAAGCGTCACACACAGCCCGGTCGCGATCGGCACGGTAAAAAATCGGGCGACTCGCCGCGCCGCTCGTAGGCTTGTTTTTGCGCGCACAGTCCTGATACCGTACACGTCCGAGGAAACAGAAGGATACGGGATATCGTTGGGCGGGTCAATTGCCGAGTAGAGAACATGTAAATTACGCAAATCCATCTTTCCAATCGGGCGAAATAATTCGCGCACGGCCAGTGATTACCGGTCGCGGTTTCTTTCGCCATGTGCGCCCGACGAGAGACCGCTGCCTTTTAATCGCATCCACTGCTATGCGTGAACAGGTATCGCGTTACATCCTGCTTTCAAATATCTCCTTGTTTAATGGCGCTCTTGCTCGCGTGTCAGACACACACGTACATACACACACACACACACACACACACACACACACGCACGCACACATTGTCGGACGAAAGCGTCTGCTTTAAAAGTCTCTTCATTACACACGCTTTTGCTTTTCTTTCGTTTTTCTCGCCACATCCGCAACGCGAGTATCTAATGTATATTTACTTTCTAAATCTACTTCACGCAATTATTATATGACTTCGCTTCGTTATCCTTCTTCTCACGCAATTGGATGCCCAAGAGGATAAGATCGTGCGTCCCAAATGATTTTATCGTTACCTCGTAAATCTGCCGCACATCTCTCTCGGTAATGACGCTTTGTGAAGCACGTTTCTCCATAAATATTCGGATCTTTGTCCGCGCAGCGGATAAGTCATTTTTCAATAAAGTCCTCGCGAAAGAGCCAACGCAGGCGTGATTCCCGCGCATCACCCGTATCTGTAATCGTTAACACGTGCTTCCGGAGGACGACCGCGCGTCCTCGCGTGGTCGTCACGCATCGAGTACCCGGCGTTCTAGATCTGGCGTGCGTCCAGGTGATCCAGGTCGATCTTCGCGCGTCCCGTCGAGGCGATATATCGTGATCCGAGGTCTGGGCGTGCGGAGAATCGAGGAAACGACTCGCGGAAATGACAAACAAACATATGCAAATGTGACTTTATGGCATCGACGATACCTTCCTCTTTGCAAGCGATACGAGAGAACTTGGATGCGGAAATGGGTTAAATATTCGAGTGTGCGCCTAAAGATTTTCCGCGACGAGAGAGATAATAAATCTCGCATACGTGAACGAATCCGCTCCGTAGAAATCGCAAACTGAAAATCCAGCGGATCTCTCTCTCTCTCTCTCTCTCTCTCTCTCTCTTTCCTTTTCTCTCTCCTTCTCTTTCTGAGTCTTAATGTTGCAACTCGATAAAAGTTTCTATTAACAAACCCCTGCAGGATGATATAAAGCGAGAGATTTTCGCAGGAAACAGTCTGACGCGATAAATAATTTCCAACGTCATGTGCGCGAGGAAAGAAAGATCTCCGCGAGAATACGCGAGGCGCGAGATTTATCGAGCGGAAACCGATAATAATCCACGTGGAAACTAGAATCGGAGTGGATCTGGAAGAACGCGACATGCCGGCGGGCCGCTTCCGCGCCGAGGAAAAGAAAAGTGTCCACCGGATCGATCCTACCACGATCGATCCAAGACTCCCACTCGACACGACGAAGAGGACGAAGACGACGGTCGGACGCGACTCGCGACGACTCAACCGGATCGGGGAAGGCAGTCTCTGGCGCCAGTTGAGGCGCGCAAAAGAAGAAAATCTACATGGAGACTGATTGGGTGTAGCTCGACGACCGACGAGAGGTTTCCATTACCAGCCTCTCTTCATAGCTTCGGGTTTCCTCGGAAGTAGGTTACCCGCAGATTCTCAGGACTCGATCCGGAGGTGTCGGCCGCGATCGAAAGAGGATCGTCGAGGCGAGAAGGAGCGTTTCTTTCAAGCCAACAGCGAAAGAAACGACACCAAGCAGATTCTCCGTCACAACGGTTCGACGATTAAACGAAGGCTTCGTCGACTTTTGACGTCGTTCCGCACACATTTCTCACGTTCAGGACTGCCCTGTGTTAATCGAATAGTCGATTGAAAATAGCGGCAAGTTGAATAAAAATACACCGTAATTTGGCCAGATATACCAATTGTGTCTCGATCAAATTACCGCTCGAGAGTCGATTATAAGAAACAAAAATTATAAGAATTTTGCAGGAAGTAAAAACCGCAAAAAGAATTCGGAAATTCGAGATTCCGATTAGAGAGTTCGAGTGGCTGGGTGGCAGAGTGCTGCCCTTGCGTCAATATTCGATATGAAAACACTCCTTCGGAGCGGAGCTTTTGCCATTGTCGAAGAGCGTCGTTCGTCACGGCGAAATAATTAACGCTCGCTACACCGCCGCGCGGCTAGTTCGCGCCATTGCGGAGCGGCGTCGATAAATCTTCACGCGCGCGCGCGCGCTTTGTAACGCCGTAAAATACAGGTCGGACGGGGTAGCACGGGGGAACAAGAAAGGAGCGTCTATAAACGACCGAGAATACGGAACTCCACTTTTTTCTCTCTCTCTCTCTCTCTCTCTCCTCCCGTCTGTCGTTTTGTTATTTCTTTTTCCTCGCCGCCGCGCCGCCGCGATGACGGCCGGAGTTCGCTTAATTACGCAGGCAAATTGAGCTGACGTCATGGCGCTTCGTCAATGTCGAATCCTGGTACGCATCGGCAAGAGAGGACGGCCGTTTCCTTATCAATGCCTGGCGGCGCGGGGCGGCGCGGCGACGAGAGGTCGACACACGCGAACGCGAACGCGAAGCGAACGTCGCTCGCGTAGGTTGCAAAACGGAATGCCATTGTTTTACCGGGCGACTGTGGCGCACAATGTGCGCGAAAGGGAGTGACCGGGCTCGATTTATATGACGGTGACCGATCGAGGCTGACATTAGAAAGTGCCGTGCGCCATGATGGATTCGAGCGATTTTGCAGGTATTCGCGGTAAATTCGCGCCGCGTGTTCGGCAGAGGGACTTCGCGAGAGCGAAATCTGCTCGATCTTCTCCAGCGAGGAAGAAGCTCGTTAGGCTAGAGAGCACACCGCGGTTGTGAAAATACTCGTCCACGCGAGTCTCTCGAGGACTCACCTGCGTGAAGTCGGCGCCGATGAACGCCTGCTCCATGCCGATCCATACCGTGATGGGTATCAGCAGCTGCTGGTAGGGTTTCTTCAACTGGTAAGCCGTAGCTGAGAGCAACTGGATGCCGCTGAGCTCTTGGCTGTCCGAGCGCCGTTGCTTCTCGCCGTACCTGAAGAACAATTGACAATTCTGTCAGCATTGGTCAGCGTCCCCGTTGAGAAGTCAGCCGTGTAATTCATATGGTTCTGCGCCGCGTATCCAAGTGCGAATTTATCTACCTGTTGGAAACAATGAGCCGCGCACGGAAGCGCCGCTCGGGAACGAAAGAAGCGCGCAAAATAATCGGTCCGATTCCGGGAAGGCGGAATTACGCCGACAGAACGACTCATGTAATAATACGCTTTAGCGATAAATGGAGGAGCTCTCATTCACTCGCTTTTCTGCCATCGGCAAGCCCGCACAAACTTGATAATTTAATCAATTTTCCGCTGATGATATGGATATATCCGCGTTTGTCGTCCATTGCTCCTCATATCTGCCGTTTTATCGTGGGAATAAGCGATCAGCTCAGCTTCGCGGAAGCTTATTGAAACACGAGTATCAATTCGTACAGCCCCGATTTTCCTCGAGAGCTGATATTGTTCCGGCCGCATAATCCCGCCGGGATAAATGGCCACGATGATCCGCGCGGTTGTGCCTCGCGATGATCATAATTTCGAGCGGTATACGTAACGCGCGGCGCAAGTCGAACATTAGACGAACAAAAGAGCGGGAAACGCGAACGGACAATGATGACCGGCTGCCGTTTAGAATGTATGATTTTCCGGCGGACTTTTGCGCCGCTAGCCGCGCACAGAGAGGAAGAGCGCGCTCGCGTGCGCGCGGATGCGGATTAATGACGATCGCAATTAATTATCATCGCGATTGTACGTCCACGTACTTATTCAGCGTCCGTGCAGCGCGAGCCACGCGGAAGCGAGTTGCGCAATTAGCGAACTTCCAGCGGTGTATGTTTTGCCATTGAACGACTTGCGTCCACGCAAGCCGCGCATTCATTCATCGCGCGTTTCGGCGCGCGATTAAACGATGGTGCATCGAGACATGCCAATCGAGATCGCGTTGCGCTCGCTAATTATTACGACAAGTCAACCGTTCAAGCGGCAGACTCGAATGAATTTTTGTCAGTTTGAGCGATCGCAAAAGATTTGACGATCTTGCAAAAGATCTCGTGGCTTACGACTGATTTCGTCTCTTCCTATCGAACGAATAAGTCTGACGAGCAAAGGAGAATATGGGTGAAACTGATAAAATTTTTGAATTGAGATTGAAGTCGGGGATACCCGCCGCAGGAAAGCGACTGAAATTGATCTCGCAAATAATTCGCCGTGAAGTAACGGTGTCTGAGTCAAAGGTAGCGGAGAAATGTGTCCCGGAGGAAAGATAAATATCGGAGAACCTCAACGAGACCCATTTCTCTCTCGTGGCAGGATTAAAATAACTATCGCGCGGATGAGAGTCACTGCCGCGGTGAGATCCTGTCGCTAAATTTAGCCGGCGAATCAGGTGGTCAGCCGCGTAATCCGGGCCGGAGGGCCCGGAGGAGAAGTCGGGGTCCTCGAGAGATGCAACAACGTCCGGTGTCTCGCGCGCGCGCGGTCGCCGCCGCCACGTCGGCGAATTCGCAAAATAAATCTCCCGACGCGTCGCGAAAACGCTTCAGCATACGCGCGGCGCGGCGGCCGACACGCACGGCAAATGTTCTCCACCCTGAGCGACGCGACGGCATTCCTGAGAACACGTTTGCTGGATTTCTGGGCCCAGCCGAAGCCACGGCCACCGTCGCGAGCCGCGAGTAGCGTGCTTGCGAATCGGCACTTGCGCAAAAAACAAGTCTCCCTGCACGTCTCTCCTTCAGGCGGAAGGAGATGTCGGGAGGCGACGTCCGGCTCCTCCGACGTTGTGCAGATCTTCGCGGAATCTACGATATCGCTCCGTGTCGCTTTCGAATCGCGGTTCGTCATCGTTAATCGCGACCGCGACCGCGGCCACGTTGACAATCCGACGAACGATCGCGATCGAGCCGACGTCCTATATGTGTGCGTTACCTGTTGCCGACGGCGGATTATTAACCACAGACGTCGATTATGACTTTTTTTTTCTTTCTTTCCTCCTTTCGTGCGTTGATTCCTCCGTGGCGCCGACACGGAGTCGTCCGTGTTTCCGTGCGCGAACGTCTGTCGAAATCGAGAGAAATCACGGCGGTGTTTGCGCGAAGCGGCGCCATCCTACGAACGGCATGATCGTTTGCCGCCTCGGTGATTGATACGATGATGATTAAATTGTGTGACGCGGATTCCGTCGGGATCCCGCGGTCATTTCAGAAAGGTTCTCCCGGCGGTTGCAAAATCGCCCGGTTGACGACGATCTCTACGTCGAGGACCCGCTAAAGTCCGCCCGGCGGACTTTTTTCCCGAACCGAAGCGCGAGACGTCAATCATGAATTCATTCCTATTCACTCGTTTGACGCGTAATATGAAAATTGCGTTGAAAAAAAACACGAATATTCCGCCGTTCGCGCGCGTCACGTGCGCATTCGTGATTATGTTGTCCGCCGCTCCGCAAACATCGAGCCGCCTCGCGCAGCGCGACGACGATGATTTGCGCAACTCGACTCGAGCGTTGAAAATCACTGCGATCCGCCTCTCTCTCACTCTCTCTCTCTCTCTCTCTCTCTCTTTCTCTCCACGCCGATCGATCACCGGCAACAACGGAGAACGACAGAGTGGAACAGAGTTGGCATGCGTCGCTTTTGCGAAAATTGCGCTCGCGAGAGAGTCGTCGTACGCTAATCCAGATACATAATTCAAGAACGGCTGACTCAACGGGCTCCGGTACCGGTCAGTCTCTCTCAGCGGCTCTCTGAGATCCGCTCGAGGACACGGGGAAATGTATCCGATCGATCGTTAGCACGAACCGTTAATCACGACCCGAACGATGTGTGCGATGGAATCTTCAGGGAATCTTCCACGATGATTCCGCAGAGAGGTCGCGGATGGTCCACGTGCTCCGTCAGTGAAAGGTCGACCACCGCGAAACGATTCCACGTCTACAAATTCTCTCCGACGAATTCGAGACGCGCTTCTTCTCGGGGAAAGATTGGAAAGGGGACCTTGCGATATGCAGTGTCGAGCAAGTACCTTAACAGTCAAGTCGCGCAAACTAAATTCCTATTAAAGCGAGCTCGATTCAGGAGCGGTCGCGCGGTAACTTTCCACCTGGAGGAGTCAATTCGCCGAACTTCTTTGCATGTCCGCATCGTAGCGCGCGTTCGAGATGTCAGGGGCTCGCAAAAGTTCGTCGGATATTTCTGTCACTAATTTCATTACTATTTTTTTTCCACGAAACACAATATATATACGGGAGAGAAATAGCTGTCATTCGCCGTTTTCTGCTACTTCCCCGTTGCCTTTCGCCTCAATCTTACGCGATCTCGCGCCCATAACGTCATTCGAAGATTGCCGATGCCGACAACGAGACGGGAGGCAACTTCTCTCGTTGATTCTGTCCTGATCGATTCTTCCGTGCAAATGGCTCGCGAGTTTTGTGGGGACATCCTGTGGCAGCCAGCGCTCTCTTGTTACGAGTAAACAGTCTACGTCGTCATTGTCTCCTTCGTTTTTCGCGTTTCTTGCTGCCGACCTCGCGCCATTTCTTGCACCCGGTCGTGTGCGAACGTTCACGTCGACCCTGCAGCCGCGAGTGCTTCTCTTTCGCCTCTTTCGAGCGGAGTCGCGCATTCGCGCCCATATTTCCGCGGCGCTTTCCAAGCGACGCGCAGACTTGGCTTGAACCGTTACGGCACAGCCTTGGAAGCAGCGCGAATGGAAGATAGCGGCAACGGCGACGCGAAGCGTCTCTATACGGATCCAACGTGCTTGTCTCTTACGTAACACTCCCCCGTACTATGCAGATATCACGGATAGTGTCGTTACAATAGTAGCTGGTAAGCAGAGAGAACGACGACGCGAGTCCGTGAAGCGCCTTCGCACTTGACGAATGACGCGTCTCGGAGAGCGTTTCAATTTAGACAAATTTTGACTATTATGCGGATGCGGACGATATAAAGTATCTAGTTCCTGCCCAGCTTTGTTAATTTTTTTTAAATTTTGCGTCCTAGATTTCAAAAATGTCCACGAGAATAACGGTCGCTCGCGCCCGCTCCGCATATAATTTCATGCAAAACAGATCTTCCCGTTGTTTTTCTAATAGCTACGTATTTATAATTCGCTGAAATCTGTCATGGCATCTGATGGCAAAATTTGAAAAGGAACGACACTGCGCCCCGAAAGAGATACAACAAGCGCGGAAAGAAGCGCGGTCTCTCTCTCTCTCTCTCTCTCTCTCTCTCTCTCTCTCTCTCTCTCTCTCTCTCTCTCTCTCTCTCTCTCTCTCTCTCTCTCGACTGATTGCTACTCGGGTATGCAACGCATAGGCCAACACGAGGCCAACGTAACGCTCGATTCGCGGGAGGAAATGCACTTCGCTTTCGTATATTTAGTATGTCGATTTCAATGGTTTACGGCCACCGCGGTTTCGTTTTGCGGTTCGCGCGCCTCGCCAACGTCGCGGGCGTTATGCAGGTCAGGATTGTCTTTCTCTTAACGATGTCGCAGAGCGGCTGAGTTGCAGAGCGGCAGAGTCACGTTAGGTGCTGTGAGTTAACAAACGGGCAGGCGTACTCGCCAAACAGGTTCACTGTTTTCTCGAGAGCGCGTCAACGCGCAATGATGCGTTTCATATGGGAGGAAACAACCTTCCGCGCGTTCCTGTTTCGTTCGTGTAAGCTGCTGCACGCGGCGATTTCTTGCCGCTGGAGCACGGATAATGTCTTTCAATTCTACCGTGCTGTGTGTGATAAACACGTGAGAATGTACTTTCTAGCCAAATTTTCATAGACTTTCCTTCCAAACTAACACCCTTCCCTTCGACTCTCTGAGGCGACGTCGAGCGCGAGCGGATCCCGATCGACACGTTTGACCGCGAAACTCTATAATCGATCTCGCTCTGATTCTTCCGTCAATTCGGCACGGAATCCGCCGCAATCTCGTGGAGCTTCTCGGTGATTGCCGCCGCTGATTGCCGATCTGCAAAGCTTGCATCAAAAGCGGG